CTTATCTCATCATCAGCACTTAATTGATATTTGTTAAATGAGTAATAGTTAACAGCTAATGTTTAATGACTGCTAAATAATCTGTGTGGCACACACTGGGCAAGTTTATTAGGTGGGCTATCTCCTTTCCTACTTGCTAAATATCAATATAGCAAGTATCATTATCCCAACTTTAAAGAAAAGGAAACAGTCACAAAAATGATTAAGTGGTTGGTCTAATTACATGTAGCAAATAAATAATGGGGCCCAGACCTGAAATTTGTCAGTCTGTTCCCAAAGCCTTCACTCTCAATCATACAGGAGTAAGGGGTTTATATGTGGACTGAAATTTATACTATGCTACAAATGACTGATAACATACTCTTCCTGGGTATTGTAGTTTTAAAAGAACACTGTATCAAAAAGGAAAACAATAACTTTTTTTTTAAAAAGTCCATCTGGTTATATTTCTGCCCAAATGTAGATTTTGATAGATTTCATTTATAATACTAAGCTTAACAATTTACAATATTAAGAAACAGGTTAAGGCATATAGTCATATGTTTGCATTGTTTCCTACATCATAAGAGGTGAAATATTTATTGCAAACCCAGAAGAGGAGTTATATAAAGAGAATCCTTTCTTCAACTGCAAAAAAATGAGATAGTTTGAGCCAAGACTTCCAACATTTTGCTCATGACCATGGACTGTTGTGTATGTATTTATGAATCCTGTCACTGATGAGTTAAATCTGACAATTTTTCATATATAACGAGGTATAATAGTACACCTCAACATATATTTGTTTTTGAGTGTTACTTGATGTCTCCATTCAAATTTCAGAAGTCATTTCAGAGTTGGTGATTTTGAAATAAATTATTCAAAATAAAAACCATCTCAGTTCTATTTATAATTATCCACTTTCTAAATATAATTCATCATTTTAGAGATTTCCAGGGCTTGTTCATTCAATTTGCCGCAGAAGGTAAAAACTGCATAAAATATAGGGGAACAAGCTGAAAAGACCATTTCAAATAATTCCATTAGCCCTGGCTGGTTTGCTTAGTGGTTAGTGTTGGCTCGATGACCGAAGGTTTTGGGTTTGATTCCTGGTCAAGGGCACATACCTGGGTTGAAGGTTCCATCTCTGGCCCTGGTCAGGGTTGTGTGGGAGGTAATCAAACAATGTGTCTCTCTCACATCAATGTCTCTCTCTCTCTCTCTCTCTCCCCCACCCCTTGCACTCTCTAAAAATCAATGGAAAAAAAATATCCTCAAGTGAGGATTTAAACACATAAATAAAAAATAAAATAATGTCATCAGATGTTGTAAACTATGTTCGAGTAACACTTTGGAATGGACTGTTACAGGAAGTAAAAACTGATCCCCACATCCATAAATAGCAGTGACATTATTGAGTGTTTGTGACCCGAAACGCTACCAACCAGGAAACAATCTAAAATGTTTAGCTGTGCTGGGTAAGGAATATTTAGGTGATAACTATTTCACCCCTCATTCCATTTATTACTCTTAGATACTTCTCATTCCACAACTTCCAAAGAACTGTTCGCATGTGCTCTGCCCCATTTTCATGGCAAAAATGCCAGCTTTTGAATCCAAAGCCTCCAAATTCCAATTCAATCCTGGCTTTTAGTAGCTGTCGCTCCTTGGAAAACCCACGTACTAGAGCCTCATTTCCTTCTGTGCCCTGCAGGTAAAGTGCTTACCTTCTAGGACAAGAGATGGATTGAATGAGGGAGTATAGACGTAAAACAGGTGGGAAGCTGCTCAGTTCACTCTTTCCCTTTATGTGGGACAGGTGCACAGTTGAGGAAAGCCACTGAGTTGGTTTGCTAAAATTGTCTAGCTCATTATCAGGGTAAATTTAGTTCAACCATGATGCATCTCCAGCAAATTATTCAACCAAACATGCCAACTGAGCCAGAGGGTCAAACCAGTAACTTGAGGGCAGGGGACCTGAATAGACACTTCTCCAAAGAGGACAGACAGATGCCAATAGTTGCATGAAAAAAAAAAAAAAAGTTCAACGTCACTAATCATCAGAGAGATGCCAATAAAACCACAATGAGGTATCACCTCACACCTGCCAGAATGGCTGTTGTCAATAAATCAACAAACAATTGCTGGCAAGGATGTGGAGAGAAGGGAAACTTCTGGACTGATGGTGGAATTGTAAATTGGTGCAGCCACTGTGGAAAAGAGTATGGAGGTCTCTTAAAAGATTCAAACTAGAACCACTGAATGACCCAGCAATCCCACATCTGGGTCATACTCCTGACAACATACAAAACGTTGACTTGGAAAGATACATGCACTCCTGTGTTCATTGCAGCATGATTTACAACAGCCCCGATACGGAAGCAAACTACATGCTCATCAGTGGAAAACTGGTTCAAGAATTGGTACATACATACAACCGAATATTACCTGACCAAGAAAAACAAGTGAAATCTTACTATTTGCAACAACATAGGCACACCTTGAGGGTGGTGTGTGAAATGAAATAAGTCAGACAGAAAAAGGCAAATGCCAAATGATTTCACTTATATGTGGCATCCCCCCCCAAAAAAAATAAATGAACAAAAAGAAACAAACTCAGATACAAAGGGACTTTTGCCAGATGGCAGGGGGTTGGGGGTATGGCTAAGCGAAAGGATGAAGGGATTAAGAAGTCCTAATTGGCACTTAAAAAATAGTCATGGGGATATAAAGCAGAGTTTAGGAAATACAGTCAATAATATAATTATAGTGATAATGTAGTGTATGTAAGGGCAGGTGGGTACTAGGTCTATCAGTGGGATCATTTGGTAACTTATATAAATGTCTAGCCACTGTTCTGCACACATGAAACTACCATAATATTGAATGTCAACTGTAATTGGGAAAAAAAACAAAACAGAAAACACAGAACACCCAATAACTTGCTATAGACCGATTACTTTTCCAAAGAGAGCCTTAACATTCAGCCAAAGCTACGAACATAAGGGGCCGGCGATGCCCCAGGATGCGCCCGGCTGCAGAATTTCTGCTTCTCCAGGAATCACCGAAGCTCCAGGGAGCAGTTCTAGCCAAAACCCGTGATCTCTGCCCTTGTCGTCCCCGTTCCCGGGACACGTTTTCCGTGCAGCTGGAGGCTTTGTTGCAGACAGAAGGACGCTGTTTAGTGAGGCCAGTGTTCACAGCCTAACTTTTTTAAAGCAGAATTTGGAAAACTTCCCAGACACTACATCTGCCCCGAGCCCTTGCACCTCAGAGTATAGGCCGGCTCGGGAGACCGCGCAGACGACTAAATGTATTAACGGCGGACGGGCCACTCTATCTTTCTCTGCTGCAGCCGTAGGTGATCCCATCAAAAATCTGGCTGCTGGCTAGGCAGCTCGTGCAAGCTGACATGCTACGGAGCTAGCCCCGGATGGGGGACACGGAGGCTGTTCCCCGAAAGAGCCACCTCCCAGGCCAAATGTTGCGCCAGGGAGGTAGTTTCTATTTCCATTTGAGAAAAGGTCTGCGTGTCCATCCTTAGGTTCTTTTTACCTCTTTTCCTTTCTCCTTCCTTCATTTGACATTTACAAATACAAAGCAGAAATTGAGCATTTTGGGGCCGGGGGGGGGGGGGAGGCTGAGGGGTTGCCTTTCTAACGCTCAGTGATGCTACTGGTTAAGCTCTCATTAATCCCAATATATCTCAGCTGGAGGGTAATCATGGTTCATTACAGACGCACAGCAGCCGCCAGCCTCACTTGAAAGCAAACTATTTACGATGTTCGAGAAAAGAAAACGATACTGTTTGAGCTACATTTCATAACGCGAATTCCCTTTCATTGTCCTCAGCCGATGCGACGGCCTATTTTGTGCGTGTGGGTTTTTTTTATTGAATGTATTGGGGTGATGCTTGTTAACACACTTAGACAGATTTCAGGGGCACCATCCCACCACAAGTCATCTGTACGTGTATTGTGTGTTCGCCACCCCAAGTCAAGTCTCTTTCCATCACCATTGATCCCTCCCAAACCCTCCTCCACCCTCCCCCACCCCAGCAATAACCACACTTGTCCATGAGTTTTTTTCTCTATTTTTTTTTCTTTGCTTAATCCCTTCTCCACACCCCGCCCCCCTCAACCCAGCCATTTGCTCCAAAACGATTCTCACAGATTCAATTAATAGCACCAGGAGTTTACAGACTAATACATCTCTTCTACGTTGCAAATCTGGAAAGTGAAGTGGGGACCGCAGAGCCCCAGTTTTCTGCACCCACAGTGAAACAGCTCTAGCTGCCGCACATCCTGGAGGCAACAACGCCCAGGACGTTGTTTGACAGCGAGGTCAGGAGTCGGACCAGGCAGGGTCAGCTGTCGCTATTCAAATGTGTGATGTTTCATTAAGATTTCTTTGCATTGAGTTTTATTTTTTAAAATATCATGTTAAGATATTAGTGACGTGGCTTCCTGCGGTTTTCTGGTGTCTTTACATGTTCTGCCTGAAGCTGCCCCCCCTTGCTTACGGGAGGGCAGGCTCACAAAAGGTAGGTTCCCTGAAACCCCTTCCTTCGTCTCTCCGCAGAACAGGGGCTTCCAATACTTGTTATACTTAAAACACACATACGTTACATCCCCTACGTGTTAGGAGTACTTACCGGAACAAGCTTAAAGAACTTTCTCGGATTGCCTTTGAGGCTCTGCTAACCTGGGGTGCAGTAGCACCACCACCATCAGGGGAGTTGCTCACACTCATTGGCCCAAGAGCCATTTGGAGCACACACTCTGACCCGCTAAGACAGCTTTTCCACATCTGCCTTCTTTCCTTCTTCCACGCACCCCACCTTCCCTAGAGACAGACACGTTCACACAATGCAGCTGAAGCTCTGAAGGCTGGATTCGTGTTTCCATAAACAGGCACAGCAAAAAGTCCCCGGGAAGGGACAGCCCTAAGCAGAGCGCCCCCCGGGTCCCCGCGCCCCCCGGGTCCCCGCGCCCCCGCACAGCAGGCCGCGGCGCACTCACCGGTGAAGTCCGTGTTGACCGGGACCGTGGAGCTGGGAAACGTGTAGTATCCGTGTCCGGGGAAACGGACCCCTTGCAGCAGCCGGGCCCCCGGGGCGGGTAGAGACGCCTCGGTCCTCTCCAGCTCGTACACAGGGGGCGGGCCGTTCAGCTCCGCGGGCGCCAGCCATCGAACCCGCAGGCCGGCGCTGCCCACTCGGTCCACCCGCGGAGGCCTCAGCCGGGCTGGAGCTGAACGCAGAGACCACCGGTTACACGGGCGTGTGGTTCCCGTCTCCCCGCGCGGACACGCGCCCCGGGTGCCTCCCACGCGAAAGCAAACCCACTGGGCTCGCGAGTACGTCTGGGCTACTAGGGACCAAAACCACGAGGTCGAGTTTCTCCAAAACGGGAAGAAACGGTTTAACGACGCTCAGCCGCCCCCTCCTGTGAGCAGAACGAGACACACGTGTGAAGGGAGCAAGGGCTCCGGGGGCGGCTGAGCCCTGATGCGCAGCTTCTGACAACCAGAGAGGACACGGCCGGCGCCCGGGGAGGACCTGGGACCGCGGGGCAGAGGAGCGCACGGGCGTCGTTGGCTGGGCCCCCGCCCCCGTGCTGGGCTACACGTGCCGTCGGGGGTGCTGTCACCCCCCTGCACGATCCTGCACGACTCCTCCCAGCGACCTTGCCTGGAGACCGAGACGTGTGCCTCGGAACCAAGCCAGCAGGGAAGGGGGGCAGGGGTGCAGGCTGGGGCCCCAGGCACCCACCGTGAGAGCCTGCCCTGCTCCCAGCAGCTCTCCGGGCTCCCAGCCCATGAGACATGCACACAGGTCCCGTCCACACGACACACTTTTGCTACAACAAACGGGGGAGGCCGCGGAGCCCATAGGAGTCCCCAGGAGCTTGGGAGTCCCCAGGTCAGACGGGCTCCTGTCGGCCCACCTCCCACGGGTGGGCGGGGCCTCTAGCCAGGTGCCCGGCCTCCCTGCAAGGTCTCCTGACGCCCATTTCTCCAAACCAAGGGAGCAGCCGGGATCCCCTGGGCCTTCCCCAGCACCTGTGCTCCCCAGCGGGCTGCAGCCGGGCATGACGCAGGTGCCCGCCCGGCGTGCCCGGCAGACCACCTGGCACTCAGACTCCACAGGGCCAGCGTCTACAGAGGCCACTTCTCCACCTCTGGGAGAGACAGCTCTTCGGTCTCATTCATATGAGCAAACAAAAGGCAAACACAGGAAGCGGTCTCTCCAATGAAGGAACAACAACAAAAAAATACTCTGAAAATAAAAGCCCCTAAGAAAATGGTCACTTGCCCAATAAAGAATTCAAAGAAACGGACCTAAGGATGCTCATCAGACTTGAGAGGAACTTAGGCAGAATTTCAACAAAGAAAGAACCGGAACAATACAATAATTGAAATGAAAAAAACAAAACAAAACATTAGAAGGAATATTTATTTATCTATCTATCTATTTATTTATTTTGCTACGTGCCCCTAGCGGGAACTGAACCCAAGCCAAACCGGCCAGGGCCACATTAAAAGAATCAACAGCAGATCAGCTAACACAGAAAAATCAGAGATGTGGGAGAGAGAACAATGGAAACCAACCACTCAGAACAGCAGAGAGAAAAGAGAATTAAAAAAAAAAAAAAAAGAAGAAGAAGAAGGCCGTTTGAGGGACCTCTGGGAGAACGTCAAGTGCTGAATCATTCCTGGTAGAGGAACCCCAGGAGCAGAAGGAAGAGAGAAGGGAATGGGGATTTTAAATAATGGCTGAAAAGGGAAGGGAAGGAAGTAGACCTCCAGGTCCGAAGCACAGAGACTTCCAAACAAGACAAACCCGAAGAGACCCCCACAAGACATATTGTAGTGAAAGTGGCCAAAACAGCAGACAGACAACCTCAGAGGAAGCGAGAGAAAATCAATCAGGGCAAGCGCGTGCTGAAATCCCCCTGAAATGAGTGTCGACTCTTTGAACTCCAACAAGTACTGGACAACTTCCAGATTCACAGGGAAATTCTTCTGCCCAGTACTAGACTATTCTCAGGAAGTCAGCTGCAGAGAATGGGTCAAAACTATTTTTTTTTTTTTTATTCTCTTGCTTAAACACAAAAGCAAACAGTCTGGCTGCTGTGGCTCAGTGGTTGAGTGTCGACCCTGCACCAAGAGGTCGCTGGTTTGATTCCCGGTCAGGACACATGCCCAGGTTGTGGGCTTGATCCCCAGTGGAGGCATGCAGTAGGCGGCCAATCAATGTTCTCTCTCATCAATGTTTCTATCTCTTTCTCTTTCTCCCTTCCTCTCTCTCTAAAATCAATAAAGGAAAAATTAAAAAAACAAAAAAACCAAAACTACCTTCTAACTGGTATGTGAAATGTCACCTGGAAGAGTCAACCCAGACTGTTTGAGAGGTGGGCACCCTGCTGAGTCATTACCCTCCCAGTCCCCCTTAGACCAGATGGGGGACTTTCGATCAATTAAACTAGACTGGCTATACAAACACACACACACACACACACACACACGTGCACACACACACGTAGAATGATGAGAAGAAAAAATAGATATGTCTAAATATTAAACACACCCACACAAAATCACTGAGAGAGAGAGGAAATAAAAGATAATCTGTCCGATTACCAATGTGAAGAGATTATACGTCTACATTTGTTGATCTCAACTCAGTAAAATGAGAGACAGCACGGAATCATGGAAAGGGCTCGGCAGACTTTCAAAGATTATATTTCACTTTTTAATTTCTAATTCTGCAAGATTTTTTTTTTTTAAATCACTTAAAATTTATATCCACTTCCGTTTCCCACCCACCTCATGAGGATGAATTTTCAGTGGAATATTTGGACAATAATGGCTTTTAAAACAATGCACATAATTGTTTCAGGCTTTACAAAACAAGACTCTGTATTGATACAAGGCACTGTTATTACTAGCCCACAACACATCTTTCAAATTGCATATGATCAAAGAATGTAGTTCATCCACATTCAAAGTCTACCTGTATTTACTTGGAAAATCTTCTTACAAATGTGAAGTATAAAATGGAACGTGAATATCCATCATTTCAAAGAATAACAACACACAAAGTCGGTTTTCACTTGGAAGAAAATGACAATGTTCATGCATCTTTTGCAATCGCTCTGTAATCCGATTTCTAGTCTTTCTCTTCTCTTTATAAGTTGTCTTTTATAAAATGCTTGATAATATATATTCTTCTCTATGCAGCATTTATTGCTTTATAAGCTGATTAATAGCATATCATTATGCATAAATTTACACTTGCAAAATTTATGTAGTGTGGAGTTTGAACATCATTGGGTAAGAACCAAAGGCTAAATGAGCACAAGCTCTTGCTGATGACTGGTCTCTAAAATCAAATCTCCTTATTTATTTTCAAGGAAGAGTTTGTTGTCTATGAAGACTGCGTGACCATGTCATTGTCTTAAAACATCATTAACTTTGCACTGTGGAGACAGGGACCCAGGAATAAATGACCTTCCTGTGCATCAGGAGGGTGTGGGGAGCAGACTAACATAAGACATCCTCAGGCACCGTGTCAATAGAAAATGATTTTAACTTCTTCTTTGAGAGGCAGTTGGCAGCCAACCTACTTCAGCTGCTCTCCCATCAGTGACCAGAAGAGGAAAAGATTCTCCCCCACCCTGGCCTCTCAGAGGTCACGCAGTGTTGCCTTGTTGACCTTCTACTCTCCGACTCGGGCAAAAAGAACAAAATCTATTTTACTATTTCCTTCTTTGTTTATGAGCCTCCCTTCAAGAGAGAATATGTGTAGTGACACTGATGGCATAAAAGACATCTCAACTGTTAGAGTCTCAACTGCTTCTCTAAGTCTCTCGTAGTGCAACATTGGCAGACCCATTGTGGGGGGTCTCTGTTCAATACATAATTTGCGGAGGAGCACATTGGGCCTGATGATCTCTAGGATCTTCCAGTTTCCCAGTTCTGTGATTGAACATGTTCAAGCCCGGCTTCCCAATGAGAATGCAGGAGAGGTACTGGACATGTGGGTCCCCTGAGCCCTGCGGACGCTGGCTTCATGTACCCCCTTCGGCTCTGAGCTGCCGTGCATCTTGACCCCAGGGTGGCATGTAAATATGATGCTTCTGTGCTCCATGACATGACACAGAGAAACCAGTCAGCACTACATTCAGAGACGTGAAGGGACATCACCTCCTCGGTGAGTCAACGCTGCCTTCATCAGCATCCTGCTGGAGATCAGCCATCCGGGGCCCGTGCCTAGGACCCTGCGTGTGCAGAGAGAGGAAGAGGCGTGCCACCTGAACTGCACACAGAGCAGCAGGGACAACAGGAGCTGCTCCCTAAAGCCCACCACTGAGAGCAGGCAGCGGCTGGGACTGCGATGATGGCGTTCTTGCTACCCAAACTTGAAGCTTTTATGGCGCTTCTGCAATTAACTACTTAAATGCATCGTAACACTTGCTTCTTTGACAGCAAAGTATTGATTTTTTAATCATTTTCAAGTCTCCTCCAGCACAAATAAATGTACTACAGTTACAGTTAATGCACTGTGTACATGCATTAAACGCCGGTGCGGTGCGATTTATTATTTGGTGATATATAGAATCGAAGTCTGGCTTTTCAGAAAGTCATGCCGGTGATTCCATAGCAGTATGGAAACGACCATTGTCCTTGGTTCTCCCAATCCCCTAACTTCCAGACACCTTTTTTATTGGACACTTAGGCTTAAAAAAAGGAGGGGGTGCTGAATATAAATCTTTTATATATGTCAGTGTAGGATGAAATTAAAACTAGTCTCACAGAGGAGATCCGGTTTATATTTTCCTAAAGGTGTCACTGTGGAACCTACTGCAGTTTCGTTGAGATGAATTTTTGTCTATTTAATTTCTTCCCCTGCGCACATTTAGGGCGCACCTATCAAGATATTTTGCGTACCATAGTCTCTCTGATTCAGTTTTTAGATATTATAATGGTGTTTTGAATGCCTTACCATCATTAGTACATTATAAAGCTAGAACAGTGTTTCAAAAAAAATATGGGAGTTCTGAATGCCATTTCTCGGTGCCAACAGACCAACTACAGCCCCCGCTAACGTCACATATCTAAATACAGACCTCGCGACAGAGGCCATCACAGTTTGTCAGTGAGACCTTTCCTTCGGCGTGCCTGCACATTCAGAACTGAAGTTGGTGTGCAAGAGCAGTTAATTTTGTTTTGTGAGAAATAATATCAT